GCGTTTCGTTGGCCAATCTGACCTCTGTAAACACGGGAAAATTACGCCACGCCCACTGTCGTAGATAAGTCTGAGTTGGGCATTTGGAACTGTCCTTAGAGGAGTTCCGGTAACAAGCATGACTGCAAAACGTGTGTACGTTTCCTATTTCTTTAGGCCCATAGCTGATGCTTCCATTTTCCAGTTATCCCGTCTCCCAGAATTTCTGTCAGTGACCACAGGCTGAACAAACAATGTTGTTTGTCCCCACAAACCTCCTCAAGCATGGATTGAGGATAAAATTGCAGATTATACTTGTGACAAACAGGACAAGACCTGTTTTCCATATCTAGTGGCCAACCCTTTGGGCACAAAGAGAAAAAGGGCCAACAGCTGTGCTGTTATTTCACTAGCAATAATGTTAGTTCCTTTACAACGGACAACAGTCTGCTGTTATTTCACTAGCAATAATATATCTTGACATCCATTATGGCAAGTAGGTTAATCAGATGCCAGCCCCACCTAGAAAGATCTTTGTTGCTGATTTGGGATCTGAACCTTGATCTCCTAAATCCACTTGATTCAAGCGGGTTATGGTAATTGATTTATACAAAGGTGTTGTGGTGCATTGTTAGAGCTCATGGTCTAGTTCTTCCACTCAGTTGCAAATGGACCTTTGATTTTTTGGAACGGGCAAGCAATTGGGGTGAAATTTGGTCCCCTCATTTCTAGGTGTGCTTGGAGGCATTCAGATTTATTCTATGATATATAAAAGGTTCATCTGACTCACCAACAGCTGCATCCTAAGCAGAGTTACACCCTTCTAAGCCCATTGATTTCGGTGAACATAGAAGGATGTAACTATGCTCTGCCAGTGTGTAAAGTTTGAGAACACAGATTTTAGAAACTCTTCTCTATGCCAATTGGCACCTGCAGATAAATCAAGAGATACAGAAGTTGCCCTGACCTGGATAGCCCAAGCAAGACTGATCTCATCAGATCTCGGAAGCAAAGTGGGGCCAACCCTCGCAAGTACTTGGACGGGAGGCATCCAAGGAATACCAGGGCCAGGATACATAGGCAGGCAATAGCCACCTCTCTGAAATGTCCAAGCCCCACTAAGGGTTGCCAGAAGTCAAGCATGACTTCCAGGCACACACAAACACTCACAAAAAAAGAGAGATATAGAAGTTGTAGGACTGCACAGATATTTAAAATCCTTTCACATAAAAAAGAAACAACAACCACATCAAGACAACATTATTCACCCCTCCCTGACATGCTGCCTTTGCATGGGCAGAAATATTTTGATTTGGTTGTATTTATAATACCCCGACCTGCAGTCTGAAATACTAAAGACCCAGGAACACTGAGCCATATCATTTGTCTGAATATGGAACAAACCGTTTACTTCCCTTCTAAAGTATAAACAGTAGCCCATAACTTTACATCTCACTCAGTCTAATACATGTTAGCTTGATAGACAGCTTTGCTACCTTCAGTTAAATATACTTGTGCTTTGGATCATGGCCAGACTAAGTGACATGTTGTAAATGGATGCCAGGTGTTGTCTACTGTGAGCATTCCTTACTGTATAAATGGGGATGTTGCATATAATCCCTGAAATAATTACCACACTGAAGTTTTACATCCTCTCAGATGTTTTATTTACAGATTTGGTTTTTTACACTGTTTCATGTGAACTATTTAAAATGCG